TATAGCTAATCTAAGAGTCGGAATAATTTGGGCTTAGTGCCTTCAAAACGACCCCTCCTGAGTTCTGAAAATCAAGAGTAGAGTTATACTATTGACGTGCTAGATAACTGTTGGGAAGTGGGAACATAAAATACATATGTCCAAATTGAGTTGTTAATGGTTTCAGGTGATTAAACATTTTTTGCAGATTGATTTCGTAGTTTTACTTGAACATTTTTTATGATGCCATGCCTACTTCGATATGTTGAACATCTCTCGGCAATAGTTTTGTTATCCTCCCCAATTTCAGTCCAGTGTGCAAATGCTTTGCAGTAGATTTCATTCGGATAATACCAGGATAATTGGCAGGAAACTGTTGAAATACATTTCGTTTTGAGTTCTGAGGGAAGGTCGATTCGAGCTGTAGATGTTGAACTTGCATTAACTATAGATAGATCGTTATTCCGTCTCTAGAGTTATGGAAGATCGCCCGTGTGGGTTGCTTTTGGCCATTCTTGCGGGCTGTATTTTAAGTGTCGCAATGTCTTAATATTCACAGTTATTGGCATTTTGCCAGCAGCTTCAAATAATAAACGCCGAATTCCATTGTCTGACTTCCAATTTCCTCGTCAGAATATTTCTAATAGCCGATGAGACCTGATAGGAAACATGGCCGAATTCTCTTGTGCTCCGATATGCTTTATCAGAATACTAGTCAAGAAGGATGGTTGAACACCGATGAAGTCGATTTTCAGTGAAAACTTGGTTACCATCTTTGACTCAGAAGATATAGGGATGTATTTTATTGCCCGTTAATAGTGGGGATAGTGGGTTGAAGGGGAATTTATGGAAACAGTCAGTATGGATAAATTATGACCAACGAACGCGTTCTGTCTGCCTGGAACCATCAAGGAGGGGAAGGGGTCATGTGAGGTAACTTAATCACTGGGTGGATTTTCATTGCAATGACAATACATCAATCAATTTGCTTTGTGAAATTTCTCATATTTAGGAATCTAATTCCAGTTAGTACCCTTCACGGCAACTCATTCGAAAGACCCAAATAATATGCAGTATAGGCAGAATATAATGAAGCAGGTGGTTAGCCAGCACAGAACATAATGCGGTAATTTTTATAGACAGGGGAACGTCGGCAAATACCCAATACGTTTTTTTCAATGCTGCCGGAGGACACTTTTTTTCAAAGATACATTCTATTTGCTTAGTTGAGTCACGCTAATACGCATATCGCAGCTCTGAGACTGAATTTATACATGGAAGAAGCGTTCATTAATTACTTCTAAAGGGCGACCTAAAACAATTATATTGTCTTAGTTTGTAGCAGTTTCTAGGGGGCCCTGACATTGTGGTGTCCAGTACTTGTTGAAAGTAGAGGGCACTGTCTTGACACCAAACGTAGGTTGGCTATTTTTTATATATAACCTGCCTCAGGTACAACTGCGATTTGTAAGCAAGCCTCCTCTAAATCAAACTTTCTTAGGCATTTAACACCATTTAGCTTAGAGATAATATCATTAGGTATTGGCAGTGGATGGAAATTGAGAAACAATTAGATCAGCAGAATAGACAGCTCACAACCGGTTTGTCTCATTTGCTTCCTGAACAACGATATTAGGACATTTTTATCACGAGGCAGGCTTTAGAATGCCTCTGTATTTCAGACGTGCATCATAGCCAAGCGCTCCACTAATTGTAATCGGATAAAATCAGCCTTATTTGTAATTATTATCGTGAAATAAATCATAGATGAACTTTAAATGACCTTTGATGATTGAAGTTCTGTCATAATCAATGTGGATCATACAAATTTATAATGCAATTAAAACAAATTAGTGAAACTTGAATAAAGAAAATTGTTGCCTAAGACGATTTTATCAAGAAGCATACCAAAATCACTGTCTAATCTATAAATAAAGTTTAGAGACTAATTACTAAGAGACTCTGGCAGAAATCATATATTTTAATTTTCCGTATTAAAATGCAATTGTAATAATTCAGCCAAAAGAGAATTGCTTCGAAGTGAGGTTACGTTTCCTACAGATGAGTGTTTTTCCATATTAATGTCCTGAAATATATTTCCAGACTCATAATATATATTTATATATTAACTTTTGTTCCATTTTTGACTATTTCTTTCAGAACTACTGCCAATTTGTCCTAAAGCCCCTTAGTAATAAATTTTTATTCCTTTATTAAATAAATGAACCAAAACGATAGATCATCCACTGAGATTCAAGTACTATCTTGTACCCATGTGTACATTTTTCTGATTGGTTAGTTGCAGGAAGCAGACGAATTTAAATACTTACAACTGAATACTGCCTGTTCGCAAGCCTCAGATACCGTAAGTAGTTATGAATGATTTCAATCAATTTTACTTACATGGCTAAAATAATTATAGACCCAAATATAATAAATAATATTAAAAAGCGAAATTATCTTTCATTATTTAATATGACTTTCCATTTTCATTGGACAATATTCTTTATAGTAACTTGCAAGGGTAGCAAATAGTGCACTATTGGTTAGTTAAATGCATATCATTTGTGAGAATCACAGTTTTGGTTGATATTTTTGACAAGCCTTCAATTATTTATGATGGAAAGAGAAAAGTGCTTCATATTCCTTTATAATGATGTTTGTTTGTTAATAGAATAGCAGCTAATAAGATAAATGCACAAATTGAAACATTCCTCTAAAAATTCAGATAGATAGTGAGTTAACTGTACTATTAAAACACTATTTGTAAAAGACGGTTTAAACAGCGAACGACAACTTCAGTTAACATTTATTTGCCTCTCAGAATAATCAAGATTTATTTTACAATATGCTACTTTTTTAATTCAATTACTTATTTTTCTAGTCTAACTAAATTTTAAAATGAACTTAATGCACCTATTTCTAGTGCTATATGTGTCCGTTCAATAAAATAACCAGAATTCTATAATTTCTTACAAAATAATTTACACGTATTTATTCTTTAAATTAATTTCATTTTATTTTGTAATACGTTTAGAAAAGCCCACTTTCAAATAACCATGTCGCCAGCATTCCGTCTTCAAATCTTAGTTCTCTCAATATGTCTTCTGACGGAGTTCTCGTCCCAAGGTTCATCAAGTGAAATCCAACGCCTTGGCAAAGGTCATTCTCTATATCGCTTTGACACCTGGGCTAAACGTAATGCTCTTGACTTATCTTCCTGGAGGCAACTTGGAAGTATAGAAAACTACGATATTGTTGCAATTCCACGAATAGAAGCTGAAGAAGTTGAGTCTGTTGCCAAGAGGGGGGCTTATCTTGACCTCCCTTGGGGTTAACCTACATCACTTTCTCATAGCCCCTCATTAATACAAACTACTTCTTAAATTATTCAGTGTTTCTTCTTTTTTTTCTATCGAAATTTTGATGTAATAAATGCCTGTATTTTGAAAGTTGAAAATAAAATTGTTAAAATTCAACAGGTCAGTAGTCAAAATTTAATGCATCCAAAAATATTTTCTAGACAATCTTTTGTAACAAATCTCTAAGGCTAAAAAGATTCTCACCAACTCCCACCCCCTTCCACCCACCCCAATCCCCAAATAGATATTAAGGTTAAAATTTTTAAAACAATGAAGAGGCAGAAGGTGGAAGGGTGGTATTAGTTAAGTCTGCGTTAGATGTAAATACCGATAATCCTCCCAGATATGCAGAATCAGCTCTAACAACTTACGGCACAGCCATTATGTGTTCTATTTACCGCCTCCCACTCAGTTTCTTCATATTTGAAATGCTATCAGATTTAATATTTACATTCACCCAAATAAAATTTACAGTTAATTTATTCTATTTCGATATAAACGGCGACCATCTCACAAAAAATATTTGTGAGTGATGAATTAATTTAGTCCAATGAATCCGCTAATCACTAGCATTTACACGAAAACTACAGAAATATATCCTTGTCAAGCAAATTGGAATCATATTTGAAATCCTTGTTGTTATTGTTTGCTCGAATTGAATTCTTCATAAGTGAATCTACGTTTTCTCAAAACACTCAGCAGCTTCAAAAGTCGGTGAATATGAAAAGTGGAAGTTAAGTGATGAGCAAGTGTTCATATTCCACCGTTCCCTCCACTATGCTTACCTCTTCCTGATATTCGATTAGATTCAGCTGTTTTGTTGTTCAAATACTTAGTTACTTATCAGAAGTACCATTAATATAAGCAAGTATTCTTTTACGATGAGTGGAACATTTTAAAAGATGCAAATTAAACTAATATATACCAAGTCTTTCTTTCCTTCAGCTATGATTCTGCAATTGTTTGAATTGTGAAAGACAATCTGAATTAAGTTAGCAGATTATTTTAATTGGAAAATGTAAATGGGTGTTCTACTATTATATGCTTCAAATTGTGACAAATAAATAAAACTGCCACGAGTTAATTAAAATGTCAGGAATTGCTTGATTAAAACTGAGTATTTATTGAATAAAATGCATAACAGGCAATAAACTTGAATAAATCACATTTTACATTCAAACAAATTCCTTCGGCACACAAAAGTGTGGATAATTGGCACAAGCATTGGCCATATACTCCCAAGAAGGCATTTAAGTAAGTAAATCACTCAGCGCAACAAAATGGAGGGTGGAATGGGGTAGAATAATGTTCTTTGAGCAAAATAAGGGTGCATTACTCCCCATTAGAGTAATTGGAATCTCCATTTGATAAACAGATAAGGTCATAAAAATAATAATGCTGCAGCAGAAATCGCCTTTTAACTTGATTAGCACACAGGAAGTATGCAGATTAAGTAATTTTGTATGACATTAGCCAATCTTTGTCGTAAATTGGCTTCTTATTATCCTAATCCTAAGATATGCGTTGTGATTTATAAAACAATGGCGTTGGGGGGGGAGTATGCGCGGGTGTAATGATGACGTTTTATTCTAAAAAAAGACTTCAATAGTTTTGTGGGAGTCTTTCTATTAGTGTGTGTGTGTGTGTATGTGTGTGTGTATGTGTGTGTGTATGTGTGTGTGTGTGTGTGTGTGAATATTTTTGCCTCTCATTTCAAATGCCCCCCCCCACCCCCACTCTTTCTGTACAAAGAACTGAATTAATTTGAGCAAACCTCTAACAGAATATATTTATTTAAATTAATGAATAAAGAGGCTCTTACTACCATTACGGATCTGTCTATAAGAGAACATAAATATTTGATCGAATGATTAAGGTTAGAGTGTATTCAAATTTAATTTCAGAAGTCAATCTCATACTTACCAGAATACCACCAACAAGTAGTGTGTGGGTGAGCGGTTGGAGACGTTTAAAAATATGTGTGACATGAGTAGCGATATGATCGGCTCTTTTATCAGTTAGCTGAATTTGGATCAAAAGGGCCAACGAATTCGGAGGGGGTATCTAGTTTAATTCTTGAGCACCAAATTACAAATAAATTTTAACAGCCACCTGGGCATGCGTGATTTTAAACTATTCAATATTTTTCGCTGATTTACAGGCCCGATGGCACCGCATTTATAATAATAATTTAAGAAGTCGATACTGAATGGTCTAGGTGGGCTGATAGTGTATGGCATTCTATTTTAAGAATTTAGTGAGTAAATGAAATTTATTGAGCTATTCAACTAGAACTTCAATTTGAGCTCATGAGCCTTAAGTTCTTACGCAATATTTGCGAACAGTCCTTTGGATTAGAGCATACTACGAAAATGGGCTGGTGATCTGGATTTTTAAAAGACGAATGTTCTCAATAACTGCAATAGTTCCAAAATCTGTCATTTCTTAAGAAGCATGACTAAACTAGACAGCTTAAACATACCCTATAGCAAACCAAAGCAACTGTCACTGTCAAGTGTAGCTAGTAATGATTCCTATCATTAATTATCTTTCCAAGTTAATTATTTTCATTATTCTTAGCGTCACTTCATTAGTGTTCATGAATCATGGGGTGGGGTGAAGATGCTCTATCGGCGATATGTAGAGGGGTTCCGCTTAACCCATCGACCTTCTAACGCACCACGATCAACACTACTCAATTAAGTGAGTGAAAAATTTGTTGAAATAAATCGGTTACAATGTGTAAAAGCGATGACTAAGTAAGGAAAGCAGTAAATAGATAAAGCGAACGGTGGTAATATTCTTTAGTAGAAAGGCGATGTTTTTTCCCAATAAGTTGGCAAGACTAGCAGTGTAGGAAGCTTAGCATTTTGCAGGCTATTGCCACCTGACAAGGAGACAAGCACTCCGAGCGAAAAGAAGTATCGCTAACTATGGCCATCAAAACAACGATATTCGCAAAAATATTTTCATAAACCTATTAAGATGGTAAAACGATGTGTGATATCTCACCTAGAGAGCGTTTAAGGGACTTGAAGTGAGCATTTGTTCGAAACTCTACTTTATCAAAAGGGATTTGTAAATGATTAATTGACATATAATAACAAACTAGGATTTATGTCCTCAAGTAGAAAATGCAACAGCAATTTCCCTTTTGAATACCATTTAAAATCGTCCCTTGTACATTATTATACTATCAAATAAAGCAAATGCTTGGTGCGTATATATTTTATTATATTATAATAACATTGTACTCTCTTGTCCTTAGGGCAGATCAGCATTCTTCTTAAGATTTTCAGATGCAGGGACTTTTCTGAAATCAAGAGGTGGCAGTTTGCCTTGAATCCAATTAAATTGTATATTTAATCCCAGTAAGTATGGGATTTTAATCTTACACATAATTAACTAAATGCTTGAATATTATTATATTCTATTGAAATTGGTTTTGGGAGTTAATCAGATTAGTTTCATATGATTTTTAAAATGCTTATGTGGGCTGAAATCCAATTAAATTGTTTGTTTATAAAATAACAAGACTGATCATTTAATTTTATCGGTTATGAAATATTTGAGTTAAGACCAAGTATAAATTAATTTGATAAACAAGTTTTTTAATCCTTCGCATTGTTCATTATTTCAGAATTCGAAGCCACTTTTTCTACCATGATTGTGATTTGCCCGGCTTCAAGCCCCTTTTTTAAGAAAGTGGATATTTTATTAAATTTAACAAATGTCATTAAATATATTCTGAAAGGGGTAAATCAAGATCTCATACAATTCGATTTCATATGGTTTTGGAATGAATCATAATAATCCACTGAATAATTAATGAAAAAATTCAACCAAACATTTATATTCAGAAGTGGAATCTAATAGTAGGTATATAAACAATTTTTAAATATTGTGTAGATAATACAATAGCAATAAATTTAATTTTAACTGCCAGCAGGCTTATTCGCGCGTTTCGCTAGTGTTTATGAGCTTTAAATTCACTGAATAATGAACCACCTAAACTGTTCAGTTATGAATCTAGTTATGGGATAAGCACAACTCCAAATAAAAGGTTCGGATACAATTTTATGTCTCTTTCACAATAACCGCTAAATAAAATTACCTCGCTTCTACACTGGAGACGCACACCTTTCGAAGGAGATGAGATTTCAATTCTTTTCCACAAACAATCGCTTTACAGTCAATAGGAATATAAAGAAGTTATAATTGAATTATATTAGTAGATAATATAAAACTTTTATGGCTCTTAGAGACCGGAAGCCAATACAAATTACCGCTAAAGCACCTTTAACTCTATAGGATCGCAACGGCGAAAAGCTATGGGATCATTAATTAAGTTACACCAAATATCAGTAAAATGAGACAGAGACCCATATATCTCCCAATCTATGTGCTATCTTCATTATGAGCTTTGGTCAATCTCTCCCTCAACATATTTGGAGAGAAATGCTCTGAGAAGGACCAAAGAATGCGTTCTAATGAGATTAACGAACCAGTTCAGTAAATGCTAGTATGGGGGGGGGGGGGGAGGGAGTGGAGACTAAAGCTAGATCTTCAAGAGTCTTGACTAGTTAAAATTTGGAAGTAGTTATTTGTCAATAATTGCATAAGTTGTAAAGTTCGCTTGAGGCATATGTTTTGCTGATTGGCTCTTCAGCTCGATTTTTTCATAATCTTCTTGTATCCAATAGGCTTTTCATAAACACACAGCAGGATTCATTAGAGTTCACTCAAAAATGAATTTGATTATTAATATAGGTACATTAATTAATCTAAACGAAGTTATTAACATATTTAGGTCAATTTAACTAGTCCCTAGTTCATTGAAATGTAAATTCAATTTGAGTATACTTTTTGACCTATATGACTTTATTCACATTCTCATTTGTTTAAATAATTTGCAAGTTTATTATTTTCCTTATGAAACTTTGAAAATTGGATCGAATTATTTAAAAATTGCAAAT